ATTTGAGCGGAGGACTTTATAGGCTTCTAACCCTAGCCCCAGAGGCACATCAGTCGAACTGACCGGTTCTGATTGCTGCGGAAGCGATCGCAGAATCCCATGAAATTACCTCGAGAAACGACAATGGATGGCTTCCAGCGTTCAACTCTACTTGGTACATTTCATGAGAATCTAAGAAATTTCTCGAGCGCCAGCAGTTCCAATAACTTGAGTCCCACAACTGAGTTCCAATAACTTGAGTCCCACAACTGAGAGTGCCTTTACGCTGTGTCTTTAAGTTCATACAAGTAACCGGGTTCCAGAATTCCCACTTGATCGACTAGATGTTTTAACTACTGTACTTCATAAATGGTATCACTTACCAGAACTTCCCATCTTATCTTTAGCCTTGAGATCTCTTGCTTTTATCACACTGACAGTGATTTTGTTCACTTCTGGGAGATAACACATAGATAGCATTAATTCACCACATAATTCCTGAATAACGAGGATCTCAATTAGTAGCACGTGATGAGGATGAGAAATTTTCTATGGGTATTATCTTACCCTGGATACTGTAGGGCGTTGTAGATGCTTCCAATAGACGGGGCTATTCTCGAATTTCACACTTTTCATGGGCAGTAGAATTTCTCCGATGGGATCGTCGGAAGAGAATCGATCATAATCCATTACCTGAAATCAAACTGCTAAAATGAGCTATTAGATTCATTTGACCCATGGTTATTTGAAAACAAACAAGGAACCGCTGTTTGTTGGTCGGTATTTTTTTTTATTCTTATTCAAATCCCTAAGGGCGGAAGTGGTGTAGTGACAAGTGGCGCGCTTACCACGCGAGCGGTCCGGGATCAAATCCTGGGTCGTGAGTCGCCCGGGCCAACCAAGCCTTCCATCCCTCCGGGGTCGGTTAAATTGGTACCAGACTTGTCTGGGAGGATAAAAACACTGACTTGAACATCGGCTGGCCCCCGCAAGTCATTGTATAGGCCACATCGCATTCAAATGCCACTGCGAATGTACAAATGGAAGTAGAATGCGTGCCGCATCCCAAAAAGGGATTGATCAACGGCAAATGCTTTATCCTTTTTCCTTTTATCTTTCCCTTGGCTTAAAGCGGGAGCTTTCAAAAGTGGAAGTCTTGATTAAGGTAAAAGCTCTATAGTATCAAACTTCGTCTTTAGCCTTTAAAATTATAATGTATACGTATGTTTTGAGACAATCGCCTCCATTTTCAGTCTATGAATGTCTTATCAGCAAAAAAATTACCAAACAATACCTTTAAATCGAAAAGAACGTCAGAAAGAAGTTATCAGAACTATGTCAAGAGAGGCAGCCTCCAGTTTTAATGTTGCGATTGGTGTTTCGGATTTTCTACGTAGGGTATGGCAGTGATCTCTCGGGCAATTCCGTCAGATTGTGCTTACCTTTCACAGCAGGCTTTTTCTGAGTCAATGTTCGCGGTACTTTACAATGGATCTCGTTGCCGTAGCGCAAGCTGCCGACATCTTTGTTAGCCCAGTGTTACAGCCTTTTCATAAGTTGAATGGGGATTCAATAAGGTGCAGGAGCTCCAGGGTGGATCACCTGTGCAGAAAAGTGGATGGGATGTGGGCAGGTAGTGTGGAATGTAGGACATCCACCGGTCCTTATCAAAAGTACGCTCGAAATGAGTCGTTCACTTATTATCTTATCCGTAGTGTTCGATAGCCCAAAGAACTGCTCTCTAGTACTACGGATAAGATAGCAATGGAGTGGCCCCCCCGAACTGGAGTTTCACCGTGAGCAACATACAGCAGCGATTCAAAAAAGATACTCTTTATAAAGAGAATAATCCGGAAGTAGCCGATTACTTAGCTGATTATTCAAAAAAATCTACCTGCATAACGAGAGTCATGTCGTGTAGCTTCTTCATGGAGTGCCCTGAAAATAGAGGAAATCATGGAAAAATACGATAAAAGCGAATTAAAACTTTTCTCTATCTACTAGAATAGTTTTGAGCCCTATCTATAACTTTATGCCCTAACTTAGGAGCACTCTTCCAATGACAATGGATTCACTCCGCATTGCATGTATAACCACCTTCAATTATCATTGTATATTTGCTTATTTATTTTGTTTATTATAATTTGTATTTGTTAGTATTGTGCTGTCCCGCAGCCTAGTCATTACAGGAAACAAGAAATTTTGTCTTACACCTGAATAAGACCATTGTTATCAAACTCACCGCTCAGGATTATCGGTAGTAGATGAGCCATGCTCGGTGAAAGCGATTCAGCGTAGCCTTTGCTACTAACCCAAAGGGGCTATTCTAAGCAAGGATGGGTACGGCCTGGAGCGGTAACGGTAGGATCCAACTCCCTAAGGAAGTAGCTGTGAGTCACAAGCTGGGATAATGAGAAGCAGAAATGAACTCAAATAGGCAATTTTCTGCAAATAAGTAGTCATTTGAGAAAGGGGCGGTGCCAATTACTCGCCTGAGTGGGTAATTACACAGTGCAACGAGTTTTACGTTCAGTAGTCGTGGAAGTTCACTGGGGCTAATTGCCAACTATAAGAATAGGAAAATGAGATCAATACCGATCGATATCAGATTGATATTTCGATTGAGGTATCCAGTACTCAGTTACTGATATTTGAGCGACGGGATAGAGAGTGTCTACCTACCTGAGTTCGTGGCAGCTTTTCACAGTAAAATACTGTCAGAGGGTGCTCGCTCATTTAATATATTATATATTACTCATAAATGTCATTTTGGACGTTACCACGCGAGCGCGTCCTGGGATCAAATCCTGGGTCGTGAGTCGCCCAGGGCCAGGCCAAAAACTTCCATCCCTCCGGGGTCGGCCCCCGCAAGTCATTGTATAGGCCACATCGCATTCAAACGCCACTACGAATGTACAAATGGAAGTAGAATGCGTGCCGCATCCCAAAAGGGGATTGATCAACGGCAAATGCTTTATCCTTTCAAGCCACAGATGTTTTTCAATGTCATTTAGGTAGTGTTTTGAGAATAGGCATGGCTTTTTGTCAGCTTGGATTTTTTTTCTGCAGAGCAAACGGCGCTCACCAATTAAGTGTAAAGCCCTCGGCGGAGACACGGCTCCAATAGAGAGCTTTCTCCGCGGATCAATGCATGCGCTACCAATTAGAGAGGATCGAGCAAATTTTGGCGGTTTTGAGGTTATCCCTAGCATTTTTACTACTCTTCTTCTTCTTCTTTCCCATGGAAGATTGAGCAAGATCTGCAGATGAGAAGCCCATTAAAATGATGGCCACATGTCTCTAAGAAGTTTTTCTTTAGGACGTCATTAGAAGAAAGGAAAAACATATGTGCTCGTTCTTTGACAGCGAAAAGTTCGAGTCCTTTCGGGCAGAAATAACTTAGCTATTGTTCAGCAGCCTGACGACTTTTAAAGTGGAAGGAAAGTCAGAAAACAATGGTCGATGGTGAATGGACTAGCCGACCTAACTAGGAGTCCTTTTAGGGCGACACAGAGTCTTTCCAAAGCGACTTTCCCATGGTATTAGCGGGTACGGCATCACTCAGAGAATTACTTTTCGTAGTTCAGTTCGACTTTGTATGAAATTTGGCATAGGCTCAGCAGAATATGAGAAAGGCGATAGTGTGCTTTCCCACTAGATGGACAGTAAAATTTAAAGCTGACTTCGTGCTTATCCCTTCTTCGAAGCCTTCACGGATGCTGGGCGTTAAGTCTACTGTCACCAGGAAATATGGAGAGGTTGCACCGCGCTGTTTATCCATTGATCAGCACTAGGTTCTCTGTCCTTGGTTTCTCAACAGGCTACGAAAACATAAATCGTCTCTCTCTCCAAGAGAATTCATGCACAGCCAAGGAGCCTTAAAGGCAGCGATTACGATAGTTTCAAGAAAGCAGTTGACAGGAACCATTGGAGGGACGTGGAGGTACTCAATGGTACACTGGTGTGCAAAACTTAAGGACGAGACCGATGAAGTATTAAAACCTTTTCTTGGCTTTGTGGACCGCTCAATGGTTCCTGTTAACTGCTTTCTTTAGTGCTATGTGGCAGCTATTTGTATGCGTATTTAAGTGCCATAGAGTCATGTTACGCGCCAGCAACACGTCGTTGGAAAAGCTACGTTCGTCCCTAAGGCCGATGTCAGACTTTGCGAATCGCGCGATTCGCTAGCGTCTGCGGTCGCGTCGCGGCCAGTGAATCACTCAATTGGCTGGTACCGCAACGCGACCGCGGACGCTAGCGAATCGCGCGATTCGCAAAGTCTGACATCGGCCTAATTGGACACCGGTGTGTAACATCAGTCTTGGAAAAACGATAGAAAATGGCGGAAAGGGACCCCATTTTTTTGTTCGTTGGTGTTTCACGGTGGATTAAACGTTAACACTCAGAACATTGCAACGCGTTTGGTGGCACAATGCCAAACCACGCTTTGATTGAGATGTTGCAGCCGTGCCACTGCTGGCAACGCAGGTCGTCCAAATCACCAAGTAAACTAGTGGGGGATCGCTTCTGGGGGCGGAGTGCTTTCGAAGTCCTGCTCAGCAACCAGCGCACCTTTCGTCGTGAAAAGCGCCACACCTCAATTCCCTGGCAGCCAATTAATTGATTCGCTTTCGATACGTTCTTTATAGGTAGTCGCTGCCTTTACGAAAATTAGTATGTGGATACTTCCATTGCTTGTCTATGGCAAGAACGACAAAAGATAGGGATGGTGTCGCCTACGATCACAAGGCGTTCTTGGAACAATGGACTAAAGTGCTCATTGTTCTTTGCCTTCTCACGCTGACTTGAGAAAGTTTCGATAATTAGCGGTGTTGAACATGATAATTTAGCCGTCGCTAAGATGTGGGAATGATTTTTGAACACCGCAGCAGCAAAAGTAAGCCCTCATTGGGATAGGTTCCCGCTGTTGAAGAGATAGCAAAAAGCTCTGGCAAGATACCGGACACCTGCGCTAGGGCGAACTCCATTGCCAATTTCAACCACCTTCAAAAATTGGCCAACGCTATGCACAGGATCCGTTCAAGAGCTCAATATCTTTCTATTCCACGAACTCGCCCAGTTTCTCAAAAGATCACATTTCAAAAGGTCTCAATCAGGGTTGGGGAATACTCTAGTACTCCGCCCACTCCGAAGGCTTACCAAGAACGTCTTTCAGGTGACGCCCTGCTTTTTCCAGGCGGTTTTTTGCATTATGTAGAGACAAGTTCATAGAACATAGAACCTTCCTTCATTTTTCTTGCGCAACCCAACCCTCTGAACGATTGAAAAGGGGTGAATGATTGGTTCATGGTTCGATTCCCCGTAGTGACAAAGATTTGCATTTTCAATTGGCGCTTGCACGCAAAATCGTACCCCAAGCTAATCATGTATGCCTTATCCCTATAGGAATCATCATATACCCATACGATAGGTTTATGCCGAAAAGTGCTGACGTAAATGCGCTGCTCCTTTTCAGAACCCTTTTTTCAATTCAGAAGACCGCTCAGGAAAGCGAACCATAGTTCTGTATTCCATGCATGTGCCTTTATACCGAAAGCTCCGTTTTTCAGAAGCGCTGCATGAGAAGGAAAACTTTCCCGGTTAGTACGGCTGTCATCTGCTTGGAACTTAGCGCGCTATTTGGACTGGATTTGACTATTAGGTTGAAAAATGAGATTGATCGCTTTTTCTCATACCCGAAAATGGATGTGTCTCCTATATGTTAGTTATCATAATTTTTATCATTTTTTAATTAATTATTTTATTTGAGGTCTCATCCAGTAAGGGGGCATGTGGTGTGACAGTTCTTGCCGGCTACAGAAATCCAATTTTTGCAAGGGGAGGGAATATTCGGGGTGCGTGAACCATTTCAACCAAAGTTCACAACGCTCTACCAAGAAGAATTCCAGAAAGCACTGAAAAAAAGCTCGAGTGAGGTGTATGCAGTGTTAAAAGAATATGGGTAGTAAATGAATAAAGAAAATAGATTTTGCTTGAATTTTACACCCACCACGGAGCTTCCCTCCCCTGAAAAAAGTGGATTACTCCATGCAACATAAGCTGTCGCACCACATGCCCCCTCACTGGATAAGACCCATTTTTTACATTTCTTCAATCGAATTTCTTCAATGAAACAAAAGTCCAACCAATAATATCGTATGGAGTATCGCGGACTTCCCGTTCAACCCAATATAACGCCCTTCAGCGCTATTTGCTGCTGCCCGTAACTTGGTCGTACTTTCATGCTATACTGGGCATTACCACTGCAGCAAACGTTGACCTTAAATGCTTTTATGCCCTCGAACGATGGTAAATTGCACATGGCTACTTGTCTCTATAAAATGTCCTTCTCGAGAATGAAGGCGTATTCTTTATCAGGAAGAAAGCACCAAATTTCCGCATCACTACTTTCGAAAAGGAACTCATTTGGCTTTAGGGCAACGGCTGTCCCAGTGCAAAAAGTATTGGCCTTATATGAATAAGTTATGGTACACCAACAGGTACTTAGTTCC